TAAATTTATTAATATTGTTTGCGCAAGTTTTCAATTTTATCTAATCAGAATGATTTACTTTATCTTTTATAATTTTCCTTTTTCTCTTATTAAGAATTCACCCTTAACCCAGAACTGTGAAAAGTATATGATTTAATTCTCTTCTAATGGTTTTGTGGTATGATCTTTAACACTCACATTATCTATCTATTTTGAATTTATTGTAAACTACTATGTAAGATGTTCTATTATTGTTCTGTTCTTTCTTCCAGACTTCTCTCTGGTTTTCCTCAAAGCTATTAACTTTTGCGAGTTCTTTCTTAAGTAATTTATATTTTCAGGTTTATTAAATACTGGGTTATGAATTAAATTATTTGTGACTTTCATACGAGATAGTTTTGATGATTGCTGCTTTATGACATAGTTTGAGTATTGAAGTGGTGTTCCTCCTTTATTCCTACATTTTTTTCACTATTTTCCTTCATGTTCTAGATCAGGGCTTCTTAAACTTTTTTCACTTGCGACCCCTTCAGTGCTGCTTAACCTGTGGGTTGCAATCCCACATGGGGTCACAACCCACAGTTTAACACAGTTAACTGTTCTAGATAGTTTCCTCCAAATTTTATTTGGAGGATTTTTGGATATTTTGGAGAATTTTATTACATCTAGTATTGTTAAGTATCCCTTTAGTATTTTGGTTGATATGTCATTATATCTATAGTAGTACTGTGTACCAGTATCATTTTTATTATATTGATATACCCCGGCCATGAGCATTGAATATCCTTACAGCTATTTTAAGTTGCCTTTTAATTTCTTCAACAAGAATTTTGTGCTTTGGTAAACTGACTCTAAAATATTTTATATACTTTGTAGTTCTTTTGAATGGGATTTCCTTTCCTCTTTGATTTTGTTATTAGTATGTAGAAGTGCTGTTGGTTTTCATGATTTTCTGCAACTTTGCTAAAATTATTAATTGATTCAGTTCCTGTGCTGACTTTTCTAGGATTTTCTAAGTAAACAGTTATGTTAGTAGTAAATAAAGAGTTTTGTCTCCTCTTTGCTTATCTTAATATCTTTAGTTTTGTTCTTTTATCTTATTACTGTTGCTAGCATTACTAGAAACTATATCAAATGATAGCAGGAAAAGGGGCCATTCTTTTCTCCTCTACTTATTGGGAATGCTTCTAATGTATCCCCATTGCATGTAATGCTTTCTTTTGGTTTTAGATACTTTTAAAAAAAAATCATAATTAAAAAAAAAGCTTTTACTGTACCTGCACTTTGTCAGTTTTTTTTGTGGGAGGGGTTGTTTTTAACATGAATGTTGTATTTTGTGAAGGCTTTTCTGAAATCTATTGAGATAGCCATGTGATTTTGGAGATTATTTTTGACTAATCTACTTTGATGCAACTCTGTTTCCATAGACTGTCTTTTCTCCCATTCCTCCCCACCCCTTCCTTCCTGTTTTACAACCTTTCTATAGTTTAAGTGTTTTATTTACTGATTTCTTTTTCTTTTATTTAGTTATTCAATTCTTCCCCTTTTTTTTCCCTTTCAATTACATGGTCATTTCAGAATCTCCTCCCCTTCAACTTATTTTGTTTATTAGTTTTTCTGAACCTTTTTCTAAGAAGGATTTGTATGCCTTGCTCTTTTCATTAATTATTTTCTCTTTATATTTATTCTGAACCTTTATTCTTTGGTTTACAATCTATACATTTATTTATTCCTTAATCTTCTTGTGGAATTAAAGCTTTTGAAGTACCAGGTTTGAGTTTCCTCTTCTCACCAGTTTCTGTTAATGTCTTTGTAGATAGTTCTTGCTCTCATCATCTCTTTTTATGTTGTGCATCACTCTTAGAAGTATCAGTGTGTGAGAGAGGTGATGAGGACAGAAGCATTGCCCCATAGTAGAGATTACAGTGTCTTCAATCTTGCACTATCATTTTACCTCTTTCCCTTTCCATTATTGTCCTTCCCATTTGCCAGGTAGTCAGTGTCCTTCTACCCTTCTTGATCCTGGTTAATTCCCTCTTTTCTGAGGAAGAATGTTGTCCATGGAGATGCGATACTCTTTCAGATTAAACCCATTGTTGATTTCCATCTGTCATTATAGTGCTCTTCAGTAGGCCTCCTTTCTCCACTGGATTGAGATATCTGTCCTTTTCATTCCCCCACTAATAGCTTTCCCTTTGATGCTTCTCTTACTCGCCTTCACCCTTCTTGTTCAGACACTCCAAGAGTTAGAACTCCTTTTGTGGTCATAGACTTGATTAGTGTATGTCACATATTCTCCTCTCTCCTCGATCTCTTCTTTCTTCATTTATGTGCCTTGCCATTCTGGGATTTAGTCCCACAGAGTGTATATTGATTCACCAAGAGGGAAGGCTTAGGGGGCTTTATTTAGCCTTTGGTGTTTCAGGCCTGCTTCTCTATCGTTACTTCTCTCTCTTTAAATTCTGATTTCATCTTTATCCTCCTATATACTTAAGAAAACCTCTTAAAAGTCTTGCTGTTTATTTTTTTTAAACCAGCGGGTCACTCTTGTTCATTCAGTGCTTAGTCTTTCTTTGGCGTTGTATTGATTTACCTCTTATGTTTCTGTTGTTTAGAGTGTTTGCAAGTCAAATAAATGTTCACACATTTTCCACTGATGATTAGCTTCAGATTCGCATGGGCTGTGTTATTTTGAGTCGCATCTTGAGTTCTTTTACTTCTTGGAATATATTCTTGTAGTTTCCAGTGAATGTAGAATGTGGAATAGTGTTATTTGAATTTCCTTTACATTTGCAAGTCTTTTGCCCAGCTACTTGCAGAATATGTTGTTTGTCATTGGAATTGTTAAGCTTAATCAGAGGGTTGTGTCTTAGAGTTTGAAACATAAGGTTTTTTCTGGAGGTGATCAATAGATTCTTTTGAAATGATCAGTGAATCGTTTGATGCTTTTTTTTTTTTGCATTCAGAAGTTCTGGGTAGTTTTCTTGCACTATTTTTTGTATTGTGGTTTTTTTCCCCCCCTATTTTGCGATGTTCTTTTAGGAGACCTATAATCCTTAGGTTGTTTCTATGCATCTTGTCTTTGGAAATCAATATCTTTTGCTCATATAGAAATCACATTTGGTTTTAGCATTATTGCTTTTTGCTTCTCTTCCTCATGATTGTCCTTTATCTCATTATGTTTGTATTCCGTATCTATTGTTCTCTCTTTTACTTCTTGGGAGAGATTCAGTTTTTCTGTTCTGCTAATTATTCCTTAAGCATAGGCCATAAATTCTGACATTTATTCCTTTCTAACTTATGGTTTCCATTCATCTTTTGAACCATTCTGGAACATCTTCTTGTGGTTCCATACTCCCTTGGGATTTCAAGGGGCTGTCTTTTATCAGGTATTAATTCAGTTTCTTTCGTCTTATAATATTTCTTTGAGAAGTTTGTAATCTTTTTGAGGTTTTAGTATGAATGTTTCTTTCTAATTTTAGTATTGTCCTTGTTGATGTGTCTGCTTGTTTTCCTGATTTCTAATGGAATTTTCTTCTTCTTGAAATTTTTGGTGGCTTTAGGCTTTTTTCCTTATATTTTCCTTTCACTCACTTTCTGACTCCTCTCCTTTGATGGTCAGAATACTTTCAAAGCTGGAATGCAAAACTTCCTCAGCCTTCTCCCATGTAGTTGGGCAAAAGTTAATGTCTGCTTCCTGGCAGAATCTATTCAGTAAGAGAAGAATCCCTCTGTAAATTCTAAAGCCCAATCCCATGGCTGGCTTTGTGTGCCCTTGTCATAGTGTGGCAGCTGGTGAGGAAGCACTGCTAAAATTGCCTTAAGGATTAAGAGTTCTCTAGTGGTCATCTTACTTTCTTCTCCCGTGAATTCAGCTGTAATTGTTCTGCCTCTAGTATATGATTCCTCTTTTGTTTTGTTTTGTTTTTTGGAGAGTTACTGAGGAGAGAAGATGGTGAAAATGTCTAATCTTGTTGATTGTATGACCTGGAAGTCTCATTGGCATTATGTAGCTATTCACTGTGTGTCTTTAGCTTACTTTTCGAAGTATATTACACATTGCTGTCCGTGATGCTGTGTGTTTCTGCCAGACCAGCCTTCTTGCTGTTCTCCATTTACTACATTTCCTTTCCTTTCTACATTCCTTTCTGCATTCCTTTGCACTGGCTATATTCGTCATGCCAGAAAATATACCCCCACCAACCTCCTACAGGAAGCCTATCTTGAATCTTCTGGTTACTAGTAACCTGTTCCCTCAGAAATTATTTTGAATCATATGTATAAATTTATATAATGTGTGTATGTATATACATACAATATATATATTTTTTTCTTTTTTACCTTTTCAAGTTATGTGCATTTTCCTTCCCCCTCCGAAATATAATGTAAGCTCCTTGAGGGAAGGAAAATGTTTTGTTTTTTAAAATCTGCTTGGTACATAGCAGATGCTTAATAAATGTTTATTAAATTAATGAATCTTTAATTTACTTTAAATGGAATAGGTATTGTTTTAATTAAATGGAAACAGTCACCACATGTTGGCTTGAGCTTCTTAAAGAGCAGGGATCAGTCTGGTCTTATAGCACTAATTATGCAGTTTTCCACAGTGCCATGTGAAGTTTAGTGTTTAATAAATGTGTTTTCATGAGATGATGGGGGTGAAATGAGATAGGAAAAGGGTTTTTTTTTTGGGTGAGAAGAAGAGGTAAGTGGCAAAGGGACAATAAAAAGACTGACATTTTGGACCTCTCTCTTTTTTGAAAATGTAATTTTAATTAAGGCAGCTTGAATTTCATGTCAACATCAATATTTTTAAATAGTTTGTACTGGAAAAAATTACCCAGTTGTGGCACACTTACCAGTATTGAGCAGTTTTGAAGATTTACAATTTTACAATTTAATTTACAATTAAATTATGCTGTGTTCTTTGGAATCTCTGCAGGGGAAATAAACAGAGTTGGGTTAAAATACAGCTGACTTTGTTAAGCGTACATCTGTATGTCCTCCTTTCTCTCTCCTAGAGCCACCATGGACACTGCTAGCCATAGCCTTGTCCTCCTGCAGCAGCTGAATATGCAGAGGGAATTTGGTTTTCTCTGTGATTGCACAGTTGCCATTGGAGATGTTTACTTCAAAGCTCATCGAGCCGTGCTTGCCGCTTTTTCTAACTATTTCAAAATGATATTTATTCACCAGACTAGGTAAGGATACAAGTATTTATATATTTATTTATTCATTGATATTTTTTGTTGTTGTTTTTTTTAAAACACAACTGTCACTTCCTTTAAGCCCTGTACCCCCATAGCACCTTCCCTTATAGCAAAGGAAAAATTAAGGACAATAAGCCGTCACAGCAAATGCATCTGATAGTCTGTGCCATATTTTCTACTTTTAGTCTACTACCTCTCTACCAAGAGGAGGAAAGTGTGTATCACCCATACCTATTCTGCAGGTAAGGATGTATTCTTGCAAATCAGAACACTTTTTAATACTAGAAATCGTTGAATTCTACGATAATGGTGTATCTTATAATGTGAACCTTGATGTGGGACTGCCTTACTTAGTAAAATTATATTATCATCTTTTTAAAGAATCATCTTTTTGTTATATCAGTAACTAAAATTTGATTCCTTCATTCCCCAGTTGAGTCTAACATAGACATGTCTTTTGAGTTCTACTACATAGTTAATTATGTTATATAATATGGTTCCGTTATAAAACTTATGGTAACGCCTTGTATTCAGATGAAAGCTTTGAAAAGGAGCTTAAAGTCCTTCATATATGCTATCTCTTCTTCTTCCAACATTTCTTTTAGGTAGTAGGTATATATTAACTCTCTCACCAATAAAATGTGAAAAATGACTCCTAAAGAAATACAGAAAGCAGATAACTCATAGAGCAGTAATTCTCTATGATTGCAACTAAGTTTTGCTTCAGAGTCAAAGTTTTTCATACAGATATACACACAGCTGGGTAGTGCTGGGCCTGAAGTCAGGAAGACCTGAGTTCAAATACGGCCTCAGATACTAGCTTGTGTGAACATGGGCAAAACCACTGTAGTATCTTTGCCAAGAAAAACCCAGATGGGATTGTGAAGTCAGACACAACTGAAATGACTGAACAACAACAACAATTGTATATATACACGGAGAAACATATATACATCTACACACATTCCTCAAAAGGATATGATTTGATTTTAAGATACATTGAAAGGTGGAGGAAGGAGGAGAGTTCTTGTAAAATCCAGTGTTGAAAGTCTAGATCCAAGCCTCTGACACACACTAGCTATGTGACCCTGGATAAATCATTTAACTATCAATTTAAATTTATCCCAGTTTGGCAGTAGCCTGGGTTATTTTAAAGAGTAAAGTAAAGAAACCCTGTGTGAAATGGAGAATTAATTTCCCAGTATCAGTTTCTAGGTGATAAAACCATGTGCTCATAGATTTAGACTAGAAGGGACAGAGGGGTCATCTAATCTAACTCCCTCATAGAGGCACAGAAGGGGAAGTGACTTGCTCAACATCACACAGATGGTAAGTGGCAGAGCCAGGATTTGAAGTCAGATTATCAGAGTTTAAATCTGGTGCTCTTCCTTCTCCTTGTACGCTAAATCCTTATTATTAGCTGGTTTTATCGGTGTCTAGCGTAGAATACCTTTTTCACTTTAGAAGTAAGACTTTTAGATCAGCCTCCTACTAGAGATTTTTATTTCCATGAGGTTTTTTTTTTTAATTCTTCATCATGAAATCAAACTTTATCAGATTGGATATCAAATGTACCTTTGATGATTGATCCTTTACCGAAAAACCCCCAAAAAAACAACACAACACAACAAATCTGGCATTGATTATAGTCCATAAAAGTCCTCCTTCTTTTTTCTCTTTTTTAAAAAGAAATGTGATTTTATTCTGAACTCAAACACCAAATAAAATGAACTTTTTCATATCCAGTGTGTTTCAAAAGTCTTAGGGTGGCTTTAAGCATTAATAGCTTATATTAGAACAGAAAAAGATATATGTTTTATATATGTATGCATATGTATATATTTATGACTTTATTGTTTCTCATATAGCGCATATGTGTTTGTATCCACACATACACACACACACACACACACACACACACGCACACACACACACACACACCACACACGAGGGAGAGAGAGAGAGAGAGAGAGAGAGAGAGAGAGAGAGAGAGAGAGAGAGAGAGAGAGAGGAGAAATTCTTAGAGGAGAAATTCAGGGAGTTACAGGAAGAAACAGAGAGCAAAACTATACTAGTGGGCAACGTCAACCTCCCCCTCTCTGAACTAGATAAATCTAACCACAAAATAAAGAAGAAAGAAGTTAAGGAGGTGAATAAAATATTAGAAAAGTTAGATATAATAGACCTCTGGAGAAAATGAATGGGGATAGAAAGGAATAAACTTTTTTCTTGGTGGTACATGGCACATACACAAAATTTGACCACATACTAGGGCATAAAAACCTCACAATCCAATGCAGAAAGGCAGAAATATTAAATTCATCCTTTTCAGATAATGATACAATAAAAATTATATGTAATAAAGGGCCATGGAAAGATAGACTAAAAAATAATTGGAAACTAAATAATCTAATCCTAAAAAATGATTGGGTCAAACACCAAATCATAGAAACAATCAATAACTTCATTCAAGAGAATGACAATAATGAGACAACATACCAAAACTTACGGGATGCAGCGAAAGCAGTTCTTAGGGGAAGTTCTATATCTGTAAATGCTTATATAAATAAAATAGAAAAAGAGGAGATCAATGAATTGGGCATACAAGTAAAAAAACTAGAAAAAGAACAAATTAAAGATCCTCAATTAAACACTAAATTAGAAATATTGAAAGCCAAAGGAAAAATTAATAAAATTGAAATTAAGAAAACTGTTGAACTAATAATAAATAAAACTAAGAACTGGTTTTATGAAAAAAACAATAAAATAGATAAACCTTTGGTTAATTTAATTTAAAAAAAGAAAGAAGAAAGCCACATTACTAATATCAAGAATGAAAAGGGTGACTCCATCGCCAAGGAAGAGGAAATTAAAACAATAATTAGGAATTATTTTGCCCAACTGTATGCCAACAAATTTGACTATCTTAGTGAAATAGATACATATTTATAAAAATATAAATTGCCCAGATTAACAGAAGAAGAAGTAAAAGACTTAAATAACCCCATCTCAGAAAAAGAAATTGAACAAGCCATTGATGAACTCCCTAGGAAAAAATCTCCAGGGCCAGATGGATTCACAAGCAAATTCTATCAAACATTTAAAGAACAATTAATTCCAATACTATATAGACTATTTGGGAAATAGGTGAAGAAGGAGTTTTACCAAATTCTTTGTTTTTTAATATAAATGTATTTATTTTTAGTTTTCAACGTTTACTTCCACAAGATTTTGAATTCCAAATTTTCACCCCATTTTGCCCCTCCCCCACCCCAAGATGGCATGCATTCTGAATACCCCTTCCCCCAGTCTGCCCTCCCTTCTATCTCTCCCCGCCTTCTCTTAACCCCTTCCCCTTCCATTTTCCTGTAGGACAGGATAGATTTCTATACCTCATTTCCTGTATTTCTTATTTCCCAGTTGCATGTAAAACATTTTTTTTAAACGGGTGTTTTTAAAACTTTGGGTTCCAAATTTTCTCCCTTCCTCCCACCCCACCCACCCTCATTAAAAAGGCAAGCATCATATGTAATGGGGACAAGCTAGAAGCTTTTCCAGTAAGATTGGGAGTGAAACAAGGATGTCAGTTATCACTACGGCTGTTCAGTATCGTACTGGAAATGTTAGCTTTAGCAATAATAGAAGAAAAAGAAATCGAAGGTGTTAGAATAGGCAAAGAAGAAAAAGCTATCACTCTTTGCAGATCATATGATGATATATTTATAGAGAGTCCTAGAGAATCAAGTGAAAAACTACTTGAAATAATAAAGAACTTTAGTGAAGTTGCAGGCTATAAATAAAATAAACCCATATAAATCATTGGTATATCTATATATTACCAACAAAGCCCAACAGCAAGAGATAAAAAGAGAAATTCCATTTAAACTTACTGTAGACATTATAAAATATGTAGAAGTCTACCTCCCAAAACAAACCCAGGAACTCTGTGAACACAATTACAAAACACTTTTCACACAAATAAAATCAGATCTAAATAATTGGAAAAACATCAGTTGCTCATGGGTAGGCCAGGCTAATATAATAAAAATGACAATTCTACCTAAGCTAATTTACTTATTCAGTGCCATACCAGTCAAACTACCAAAAATTATTTTATAGAGTTAGAAAAAATAATAACAAGATTCATTTGGAAGAACAAAAGGTCTAGAATATCAAGGGAACTAGTGAAAAGAAATGCAGGGGAAGGTGGCCTAGCCATTCCAGATCTTAAATTGTACTATAAAGCAGCAATCATCAAAACTGCTTAGTATGGTAGATCAGTGGAATAGGTTAAGTATGTAAGATACAGTAGTCAATGACTATAGTAATCTATTATTTGATAAACCCAAAGACCCCAGCTTCTGGGAGAAGAAGCCACTCTTTGAAAAAAACTGCTGGGAAAACTAGAAAAGAGTATGGCAGAAACTAGGCATAGATCAAAATCTCACACCATATTCCAAAATAAAGTGAAAATGGGTTCATGATATAGATATAAAGGCTGATACTGTAAGCAGACTGGGAGAGTAAGGAATAGTTTACCTATCAGATTTATGGAGAACAGAAAAATTCATGACCAAACAGGAGATAGAGAACATTATGAAAAGTAAAATGGATAACTTTAATTACATTAAGTTGAAAAGTTTTTGCACAAACAAAACCAATGCAACTAAGATTAGAAGGATGGTAGAAAACTGGGAAAGAATTTTTACAACAGGTCTCTCTGATAAGGGCCTCATTTCTAAAATATATGGAGAATTAAATCAAATTTATAAGAATACAAGCCATTCCCCAATTGGTAAATGGTCAAAGGATATGAACAGACAGTTCTCAGATGAAGAAATTAAAGCCATCTGTAGTCATATGAAAAAATGCTGTAAATCACTATTGATTAGAGAAGTGCAAATCAAAACAAATCTGAGGTACCACAGCACACCTATCAGATTGGCCAAGATGACAAAACAGGAAAATGATGAATGTTGGAGAAGATGTGGGAAAACAGGAACACTAATGCATTGTTGGTGGAGTTGTGAAATGATCCAACCATTTTGGAGAGCAATTTGGAACTATGCCCAAAGGGCTATAAAAATGTGCATACCCTTTGACCCAGCAATAGCACTTCTAGGGCTGTATCCCAAAGAGATCATACAAATGGGAAAAGGATCCACATGTACAAAAATATTTATAGCAGCTCTTTCTGTGGTGGCAAAGAATTGGAAATTGAGGGGATGCCCATCAATTGGGGAATGACTGAGCAAGTTATGGTATATGAATGTAATGGAATACTATTGTGCTATAAGAAATGATGAACAGGCTGACTTCAGAAAAACCTGGAAAGATTTATATGGTCTGATGCTGAGTGAAGTGAGCAGAACCAAGAGAACGTTGTACACAATAACAGCCACATTATGTGATGACTAATATTGATAAACTTAACCCTTCCCAGCAATACAAAGATCTAAGATATTTCCAAAGTCCTCATGATGGAAAATGCTATCCACATCCGAAGCATGAACTATGGAGTTTGAATGCAAATTGAAGCATACTATTTGCTATTTTTTTCCTTCTATTGAGTTTTGTTTCCTCTTTCTGATGGTTCCTCCTGTTGGTTTTAATTTTTACTTACAACTTCACTAATGTGAAAATATGTTTAATAGGAATGTAAATGTATATAGCCTATATCAGATTGTGTGCCATCTTGGGGAGGGGGTGGAGAGGGAGGGGGAGAAAAATTTTCAACTCAAAAGCATATGCAAGTGATTGTTGATAAATAAAAATAAATTAATTTTAAAATTATTTTTTATTTTTACCTTCTGTTGAGTTTTGTTTCATCTTTCTGATGGTTCCTCCTGTTGGTTTTAATTTTTACTTACAACTTCACTAATGTGAAAATAGGTTTAATAGGAATGTAAATGTAAAGCCTATATCAGATTGTGCGCCGTCTTGGGGAGGGTGGGGGGGAGAAAGGGGGAGAAAAATTTTCAACTCAAAAGCATATGGAAGTGATTGTTGATAAATCAAAATAAATTAATAAAATTTAAAAAAAATTAAAAAAGAATTAAATTAGTTTTATTCTGAACTCAAACACCAAATGAAATGAACTTTGCCATATCCAGGGTGTTTCAAAAGTCTTAGGGTAGCTTTAAGCATTAACAGCTTATATTAGAACAGAAAAACATATATATTTTATATGTGTGTGTATGTGTGTATATATATATATATATATATTTATGACGTTATAGTGTATATATATGGAGAGAGAGAGAGAGAGAGAGAGAGAGAGAGAGAGAGAGAGAGAGAGAGAGAGAGAGAGAGAGAGAGAGAGAGAGAGAGAGAGAGGGATTAACTAATGGCTTTCAAAGCTATCCCATTTTAAAAAATCCTTGAGAGTTTTTAACATTCTTGAAATATGGTGACTTTTATTTTGTAAGTAGCAAATCTTAGTTAGTAGAATTAAGTGGTATTAAAGATATTATCCTGGGAATGTACATTGGCCATCAGAAACAAAGATGGGCCAGTCACATAATAACAGGGATAGCTTGACTCTGTAACTAGAACCTACAAAACATTAAAAAGAGAAGGGCTTTCACTATATTGGGTCGATAGATCTTCTTTGGAGGATTTGTGGCAGGCTTGCACAACATACCACCCATGGGCCATTTTCGTGGGTTGTATGTTGGGCAGGCCTGATTTATGGGAAGATATAGATTCTTATAGGAGCAGGTGTGAATGGATCATAAGCTGTACTAATTAAGGGAGTACCCACATCAAAAAAAATCAGTAGGTCCATTGAATAAAGGAACTCTTACAACTGGCATTAAAACTACTCCCAGCAGACCATGTTGAGGGGTGCGGGCCAAAGCCAGAATGGGGCTCCATGAGTTGGAGTGGCAGTGGGTCTTGCAGAGACCAGGACCCCAGGAGCATGAGAGCATGCTGATAGACAGTGCAGATAAACACCTACTTTAGGAAAATCAACTCAAGAAGTAAATAGGGAACTCACAAAGACCCAAAATAGGTCCACTGCTGGCATCATACCTTGGCCAGCAACAGTCCTTTCCTTTACTGGTAACATTTCATTTGGGGATGGGAATGGACAGCTCCCCTCAGTGTTTAGGTATCTCCTATTACTTGAATACTAAGTTCACCTACAAAGATTAGGTGTTTTGTGGGGGTTTTGAAATTCCTTTTTATAAGTTATTGCAACTGTATACATTTATTTGTTCAATAAATAGTTTACCTTATATGTTAGTGAGGTGTTGGTATAGGTAAGGGATAGAGGGTTAACCTCTAGAGTCAGGAAACCTGGATCTAAACCTTTGATTGGTACTGGCTATGTGACCCTATTAACCTGTCAGGTACCCAATAGACTATAGTTGCAGAGTAATTTCTGGATCTGTATTGGTAAAGAGAGTTTCTTCCCTAGAAATAACCTTTACCAGTGCAATCACAAGTCTGACCAAACATGTGTGTGTGTGTGTGTGTATGTATAAATGTCATCACAGGTAAATAATTTAGAGACAGAAACAAGTTTAGTATAGTAATTATTAAAATTTTCCATTTTCCATCTGTATACCTCACCTTCAATTTTGAGTATTTAGAACCAAAAACATGACAGTGACACCAAATAAATGAAGAATTGCCAGTGAAACCTGAAAGTGATAAGTATAAATTCAGGTTACTGTATCTAGTGAGATCCCCAAGTCTGGTTTGATTGTAAAGAAGTACCTTTAGTTTAACATTATGTCACTTTATGAAAGTAACTGTGTTAAACATGGGGTAGAACTAAGTTGTCTACTTTGACAAATTTAATGTAATTTTTTTTCTTTTAAACAGTGAATGCATAAAAATACAACCAACTGACATCCAACCTGATATATTCAGCTATTTGTTGCACATTATGTACACTGGGAAAGGGCCAAAGCAAACTGTGGATCATGGCCGTTTGGAAGAAGGGATTCGATTTCTTCATGCAGATTACCTTTCTCACATTGCTACAGAAATGAACCAAGTATTTTCTCCAGAGACTGTGCAGTCTTCAAATTTGTATGGGATTCAGATCTCAACCACACAAAAAACCACAGCCAAGGAAGGGCTGGAGATGAAAGAAAACCCTTCCAACAGCAATGGAAACAGAAGCGTTGCCCAAGGGGACCACCCACAGTTACAACTCTCTCTTGCTATTGGTCTAGATGATGGCACTCCAGACCAGCAGATATCGCATGCTTCTTCCCAGTCAATGGAGGAGCTCCAGAAGCCACCAGTGTCAATCAAGCAAGAACGGTGCGACCCTGAGTCTGTTGTCTCTCAGAGCCACCCCTCACCTTCTTCAGAGATAACAGGCCCGACTTTCACTGAAAGTGGCATCAAAATTCACTTGTGCCATTACTGTGGGGAACGCTTTGATTCCCGTAGTAACTTACGAGAGCACCTCCACACTCACGTGTCTGGGTCTCTTCCTTTTGGTGTCCCAGCCTCCATCTTGGAGAGCAATGACCTCGGGGAGGTGCATCCAATCGGTGAAAGCAGCGAGGCTCTCAGCGAGTGCCATCGGCTCAACACCTTCCTTGTCAAAGAAAATGAGCAGCAGCCTGACCACCCAAGCCGGGGCACCATCGAACCACTACAGATCAGTCAGCTGTCCCTGATCTCCAAAGACACAGAACCTGTGGAGTTAAACTGCAACTTTTCTTTCTCAAGGAAAAGAAAAATCCACTGTACTATCTGTGGTCATAAGTTTCTCCGGAAAAGCCAGTTGCTGGAACACATGTACACACATAAAGGTAAACCTTATAAATATAACCGGTGTCGAGGCTTTGGTAATACAGTGGCCCAGAGATTTCAGTCATATTGTAACAGCTGGTCTGAGGGCCCTCTGAAAATTTCTAGCCTGTCTCAAGAACACTTAGATTCATCATGTACTTTAGAGTCTGCTCTCACACAAGAAAATGTAGACACTATCCTCGTAGAGTAGCTAGTTTTCCCTTAAAACAGCATTATTGGTTTTGAAAATGAAGGGGAAAATTATATAATAGTTTTTATTTGCAATTCCAATCCCTCAGCCCCTTTTTAGTATTACTAGACTGTTCACCCAGTCATCCAAGATTTTAAAAGCCAGAAGATTTGATTTCCAAAGTGGTAAGATTAATTTGAAATCACATTGCCCTTGATAACAGTACAACAATGAAGTGACTAATTTAAAGGCAAACTTTCCATTAATTAACTAGATACTTCTTTAGAAATCAGCTAAAATAGCCAGACGGAATTCAGGAATTTGTTTATAGTTGTTCATTTAAATTATTCCAGAATGTAGAATTTTTGAAGTTGTCCTATGGAATTTGAAGTAGATCAATTATGTTATGAAAGGGTATTCCAGAATCTCACTTGGTTAATATCTCACATAAATCACAACTCTATGAAGAATATTCCATAATGTTTTCATTATGTAGAAAATAAGTAATTGTTAAATAAACCTGCTAAATATAAAAATATTAGAGTTGGTTACTGAAGCATAACCTTCATTAGCTATGATGATGGTTTTAAAATTACTTTTTAAAGCTCCCAATCCTAAAATAATGATATGAATTATAAATATTAAAGCATAACAAATGTGAACCATCTTCCCTTCGTCTCAAAATAGTCACCCACACAACAAAGATAATATTAATTTTTTAAAAATAGTTTTTCAGTTCACTGTTTATTTTAGCCAACTATCCCAACATGAAGGAATTAAATTCAGTATTCCAGGACCATGTCTAAAACCTTCCCACTTGTAAGTTTAATGTGATTCCCATTTCTAATATTGCTCTTCCCAAGACTAAGACAAAACTAACATCGTTAGAGGGGGATGATTCATTTTGTTACTTTGACTAGGCTCATGGACTTCAGTTATTAGAATGCTGAAGGATAGAGTCTAGTTAACTTATTTTTTCTATTTTTAAAATATGTTAAAACGCCCAGAATTCCAAAACAACTGAAGGTTCTTGGTAGTGACTTGTGATTAAAACTGAAATATTAAAAATAATAGATTTGTTTAAGCTTATTTACTGAATAGTGTTGTTTCCTGAATGTACCATGACATTTGTCTTCCTTTCAGTAAGAAGTCACTTGAGAAAACTATTCCAGCTAGTATTGACACAGATGATTTTTTCAGGGAGAGCATTTAAGTTGAAGGGAATAAACTTTTTCCAAACACTAATTAAAAGAAGGCAAGAGTTCACTGAACTTTCTAGGTTCCAGGTTAATACATAGGGAATCACATTCAAGTGTTTCTTGTTGGAGAGTTGTGGTAGGATTGCTCTTTGGGATATTAAACAAAGTAAATTAATCTTGAACTTTATTCTTTCATTCCAGTTAGGCCTCAAGCCACAACTGGCTGCATTTGGCTACAAGTATATTCATAATTTATTTTAAAATAATACTTTAAATTAAAATGTAATTATGCTTCCCTTTAAGAATGTAATTTTCCTGTTTTTCACTTTATTTCTTTAATTCTTTCCCCTATCATTGATAAAGGTCACTGAATAGGAAGTAGAGAGTTAAACAGTGGGCATTAGGTATATCTGTCTCATGTGTTGTTAGGTGTAGAGCCAGGGGAAGGAAGAATGAGAATATAGGGAGAGGGCTGCCAGACATCCTACCCTTGCCCCCAAGAAATCTCAGATTGAAGAACATTGATTTAAAGAAGTTCATTCTGATTTGTTTGGATGATTTTAAGAAAAGTATTGGTTGGCTGAAATGCAAAATAAGTCTATATGTATGGTCTTTCCTTAATCCTCATGCTATCTCTCTGTTTTAGGAAGTGGAAAAGCACTACTAACTCCATTTTACAGAAAAAACCCCAAAACCTGAATCCCAGAGGTCAAGTGGTGGTGGTGTGGGGACTGAACCCAACCTTCATTTGTTCATTTATTCATACATACATACATACATATTCGCATTCATTCATTTGTTTAGCACACTTTTGTTAAAGCACCTTCTGTGTGCTTCACACAATGTTCTAAGTCTGGTGTTATTATAATAGACACAAAGACTGGCAAAGAAAGATGTTTAAAAAAATCAGTGAAATAATTTGGGACTTCATTTTGTCTTCTTCCACATAGGGGTGCAATATCAACCCACTTCATAGGGATGCAGTGTGAATCTGTTCAGTAATGAATTTGGAGTTCTTCAAAATACATAGTGCTGTATAAGCTGGGTTTTTTGGCCTATAATTCATTGGTGTAAGAAACTCCACTGAATTCAGATCAGTAATTTGTCTATGACTTACTTAGAGCCTTTGAGGGTTGTCTGTGGTCACAGACAATAAAGTCCGAGCTTGAACCTGGATCTGCCTAACTCCGAGGCTTTCTGACTGTCCATTCTGCCACTCTTGTTTAATAAGCATTATCACATTATTTAACAAATACAATACACAGATGTCCCTTATGAATCATCTTTAGAAATCTCCCCTGTCACTTTCCAGACCTTAAATATAGTGGGTTCCTTGTCTTGCATTTACCATCTGCTAGCTCAAATGTGACAGCTGTGGACCCAAGCAGATTCCAGAAAATGCTGTACTTTTTAAAGATGTTGGTTATGATGTAACAGTATTTTAAAAAAAAATCAGGTAGACAGTGTCTGATTGTTGTTATGGATTTTGTCAGTGTCCAGAGAAAGTTAATTTCGTCTGCCTTACAAGGAGACTGAGAACTTTCTGATTTATAATTGTCCAGATTGTTATTTCTTGCTTTGATCTTCTGTTTTCCTGTCCTTAAAAAGTATCAGAGAAATGCCTACTTCACAGGTGTTGTGAGAATTAATGTGTGAAACTGTCAGAGTGCTCAGTATTGCTAATCCCACATGCAAGGAGACTTTTGCTGTTGCTTTCCTCTATTCTTTAGCTAAACATGGAGCTTCAGTATTTCAGGCCTTTAGAAACATGGAAATTCTCTAGCCTGTGAAAACCTTCATCTTAGGAGGCATCAGGTGATGAGTTAATGCCTAATATCTGAGACTTAGGATATGATATTATATGAATGTGAACTTTAAACATATGCTCTAGCATTACTAAAAACCAGCTAATTTCAGCTTTGTACCCTACGAAAACACATTGAACAATGAGGGGAAAGCCCTTTGTTTCTAGATAATACAAACAGAAAAGGAAAAAGAGGATAATGAAACATATCAGTTCATGTCCTTTTTCATCCATGCTATTGGACGCAAGACCTCAAGGTTAAAGGAAATAAATAATAGTCTTGGGATGGGACAGTTTCATTTTTAAAAAGCCTTTTTGCTTAGGCAAGTTTTTAATCTTGAAAGTGAAGACTGAGTGTCATTTTTGGTAGTAAATTAGATTAAAATACTGTGTGAAGAGTACAAAAAAACCCCACCTAGTTTAGACTTTGCGTCTTTGTATGTTTTAAACTGTAAATGTAGCTGTATAGTATTTTCTTATGACCATTGACTTTAAAATTCTTCATGCCAGAATCCGTGATTACTCTGTGATATATTGGACTTTCAGGGGAAATTGTGGTGAGATTATCTACCTTTTCCCCCAGCCCACCTCTCCCAAGATGGAATCTTTTAAGTACCAGAAAAGCCAAGCCCGTGAGTTTTCCAGGCTTGGAGGAGCCAATCCATTGTGCTTTAACTCGGTATGTGTCTATGACACACCTTGCACACCTAGGCTGATGCTCATCCTGCTACATTTTTTCCCTGTTACTGACTTGTCTCTGTTGTGTGCCTACTGTTTTGTCAGGTAGATAAAATATCAACTGGAAGCATTTTAAAAAATACTTGGATTGCAAAACTTGCATAGTTTAAAAAAAATAAAGCCCCCATAAGAGAGCTTTCAAGGGACAGGTAATGCACAGAAAATAGAGCAGACCAATACCAATAATAAATACACTGTATTATTGCATGACAAAGTTATGCAGCTCAATTTATAATGAATTTAAAATGTTTAGAATACCTGTTCCTTTAAAAAATAAAACTGTCATCTTTTAATTGGAATAAAGCAATTGCATTTTCATGTATTTTATCAAGAAAAAATAAATTTGACAATTTAAAAGACTATTTGTGCTTGTTTTCAAAAACAATCGATTTGTGAAACATTTTCGGGAAACAGATGGATTGTGATAAGTCATTAATTGTTTTTTATTTATTTTATTTTTATTTATTTTTTAAATTTATCGTATTTTAAAAATGTATTTATTTATTTTTATTTTTTTTTATTTAAGTATATCTCAACATACAGAAGTGAAAAAAATGGGCAGGTGATCTGTTTGCCTTTACTCATTGACACTGTTTATATATCAGCTCCGAAACCAAAGTTTTTGGCCTCTCACAGGTAGCCCCCATCTTTCATGTGACTTGATAAATACTTGTAATCCCAATACTGACAGGGTTGTGGTTTTTAAAGAGAATATCTCATATTCTTTATGACCCACATGAAGTTATATGAGATCAGTTTTTTATTCTCAGAATAGCTCTTTTCTACTATCCTTGGTTGCTTTCCCCCAGTCACTCAGCTGATGTTAATTTGAGATTGTAAAATAAATTTAGTAATACAGTTATACCTTAGAGATATTGCAGGTTCTGAATATTGCGATAAAGTGAGTCACACGAGTTTTTTTGTTTCCTAGTACATATAAAAGTTATGTTTATACTATACTGTAGTCTTTGAAGTATGCAATAGTATTATGTCTAAACAAAGTATGTACCTTAATTAAAAAATGCTTTATTGCTAAGAATGCTAACCATCATGTGAGCCTTTCAGCAACACATAATTTTTTTGCTTGGGGGGGGAGGGGGGGTCTTGCCTTAGTGTTGATGGCTGCTGATGGATCAGGGTGGTGATTGCCGAAGATTGGGGTGGCTGTGGCAATTAAGATAAGACAACAATGAAGTTTGCAGCATTGATTTACTCTTCCTTCTTTCATGAAAGATTTCTCTGTGGCATGTGATGCTGTTTGATAGCATTTTACCCACGGTAGAACTTTTTTCAAAATTGGAATCAATTGGAATCAAACCTGCCCCTACTTTATCAACTAAGGTTATGTAACGTTCTTCAGTATTGTTGTGTCTCAGGAGAGAGAGAGAGAGATTGGGGGAGTGGCTGGTCAGAGAATAGTCAGAATACACACAACATTGATTGATTAAATTTGCTTTCTTATATGGGCATGGTTCTTGGCACACCAAAACAATTACAGTAGGAACATCAAAGATCACTGATTGAAGATCATCATGACGGATTTAATAATAATGAAAAAGTTTGAAATATTGTGAGAGTTATCAAAATATGACAGAGAGACATGATGTGAACACATACTGTTGCAAAATGGCTCCCATAGACTGGCTTGATGTAGGATTGCCTTGATGTAGTCTTTCAATTTGTAAAAAAACTCAGTATCTGCAAAGCACAGTAAAGTGAAGTGCAAATAAAACAGGGTTTGCCTGTGTTAGTTAATAAACCAGATGAAATGGAGAAGGTAAATATTAAGAAATATACGTCATTAATGTTGAAGCCAAATACAAGTGTGTTTAGCAAACTGCTTTAGACCAAGGTTAAGGAAGAAAAACCAAGAGTTTATGTATTTTAAATTTATTTTATCATGTGGGATCATGTTTACTTAAAGCAAAACTAAAAACCTTTTCCTTGGCTCTGCTTAAAGAATTAATTTTTAGTTTACAGCAGTGTCTACTAAAGCTTGGCATCATAACCTTTTGGTAAGTATTCTTTTGTGTTGGATAACATTCTGTGTTAGGCAGCTGGGTGGTGGAGTGGGTAGAGAGCATTGGACTTGATGTCAGGGTGACCTGAGTTCTAATCCAGCCTCAGACTAGCTGTGTGACCCTGGGCAAATCACTTAACCTTGATTGCCTCCAATAACAAAAAAGTAACCTACCTTGGCCATTCTCTTCCATCCTCTGTCCTCTCTCTACGCCCAAACAGTAATGTTCCTAAAGCTTGAAATGTAAGCTTCATAATGAATATCAGTCCACAAGCATTATGTACCTGTGGTGTGCCAGGCATTGTATCAAGCTCTAGAGATACAATGGCAGAAAACGAATTTGATCCCTAGCTTAAAGGAGTTAACGCTCTGTCCAGGAAGCAACATGTACACGTAGAAGAAAATCCACGGTGAGAAGCAGTATGGTGGTAGTGGGCGGAGAACTGGCTTGTGCATGAGGAAGATGTGGCTTCAGGTTCCACCTCTTAACACGTACTGTCTGGGTGACAGTCACTTAGTGTTTTAGTTGTGGAGCAAATGCTGATCTGCCTTGATAGAGGGGGTTCCTTCCCAGGAGTTCCCCGTATCAATGAAATGTCAGATTCTGTCCAAAACAATACAAAGTAATTTGTGTGGGTTTGTGTTATTGGGGATTACAGGGAAGGCATTAGTAGTGATGAGGAAATGCTTCTTAGAGGGATGTCATTTAATCAGTCAGTCAGTCAGACATTTACAGTTATCCTTCCACAGTGCGACTTTCCCCATCGTGCTTTTGATATGTCGTGAGTCGGCATAAGAAATTAAATGGGAGTTTTGTGGAGGCTGCAGACGACACAGAGCCTATGACCAAATACTTAACCCAAATTTTACAATAACGTACTGTAAACACCCCATAAAAGAAAAAGAAAAAAAATTGAGACTTCTCTGGTATGTAGGGAGTTTTAAAAGAGTTTACATGAATTCCAGATTGTGTGGGCGCTGCCCCCCCCATCCCCTTGATGTGGAAGGAATAACTGTGTTAAGGGCTTACTACAAGCTAGGCACCGTGCTTAAGTGCTGACGATACAAAGGAGGCGAAGACAGTCCCTGCCCTCAAAGAGCTTACAATCTAATGGGGGAGAGAACCTGCAAACAAATATATACAAAGCAAGCTACATGCAAGATCAGTAGGAAGTCATTAATAGAGGGAAGGCACTGGAATTAGAGGTTGGGAGAAGCGTCCAGTAAAAGATGGAATTTTATAAATATAGGAAATGGGGAACAGAAGTCTGTCCTGCCCTACAGGAAAATAAGAGAAGGGGAGAGAGATGGAAGAGAGGACAGAGGAGGGGAAGGGATATTCAGAATGCATGCCATCTTGGGGTGGGGGAGGGAGGAGACGGGGTGAAAATTTGGAGCTCAAAAACTTGTGGAAGGGAATGTTGAAAACTAAAAATAAATTTATATTAAAAAAAAAGATGGAATTTTAGTTGGAACTTAAAGTCAGGGCAATAGTAGTTGGAGGAGAGGAAGGGGAGCATTCTGGGCATGGTTTTTGAGCTGAGCTTTGAAGGAAGTTAGGGATTCTTAGAGGTAGTGGCGGGTTTAAGGTATGTGGGACTGGCAAGAAGGCCACTTTGGCTGGACTGTGGTATGAAGGGCAGTAATGTGTAATAAGCCTGGAGAGGTAGATCAGATAACGACTGGCTTAAATGACAAAGCAAGCAATTTGCATTCTCAGTTATTGTGGAAATCAAGTGATTCCCATGAAAGCACAGCCTTGAGCTTTGGAATTTTTGTCCCCTTTGTCTTACTGCCAGATCTGCTTTGAAGTGTTCTCTGGACATTTGAACTGTGCTAATTTAGAAACATTTATTTAGAGATGGATAAGCAGTGAGATAATTTTGGTAGTTTTTAAAAGTTTACAATCTGCCTGTTCTTTGAAGCCTGGAGAGGTTAAGTGATTTGTCCGGGATCACAAAGCCCAGGGTCAGAGACTGGAACATAACTTTCTTTCGTATTTTGAAGAGGAACTCTTTTTGTGATCTGAGATTTTAATAAGAAATGAGATTAAATTTCAGTCTGGAAAAAGATACCAAACTCAGTAAACAACGGAGAGGTGTGTGGTAGTAGGGCATACACCATTAAGCCCATCCTTTCAAAAATATGTTTTTTCACAATGGCTGGGAAACTTTTGCAATAAGTGAAAGTGTGGGTAGTTTCTGGAGAGGCCTCAGTAAAGGGATGTCTGAATTGAAGTCAGGGAGGAAAAGTGGGCTTATGGATGTTTGATTATAATTACCTGTAACATTAAGTATTCAGAGTGGTTTGGTTAAATTGCATGATGTGCTCTTTTATGTTGGGCTGCTATGAATATCAATAAAAATTTTAAAGGTATGTAGATTAAAAACCATCCTTTGTATTCTGCTGACCTTTCATTTGGACTATTAGTCCCAATGGCTGATCCTAATTCTCTTTATTATTTGCTTATAAAAATGAAATACACACTCCATATTCATGTTCTCTGTTCCTTCCTACACACTTCATAATTTTTCTACCTTGCAAGAAAAATAAATTTGTCCAGGGTAGACCCTTCCTTGTGGCAGGTAGATGGCAGTAAGCTCCTTGAGGGTCCACGCTCTCTTTTGCCTATTTTTCTACACACACACAGACACACACACACACACACACACACACACACACACACACACACATACCCACCCCATGCCAGCCTCTCCCCTCATTTTATTGAATTGATACAGCGCTGGAACTAGAGTCAGGAAGACCTGATCAGGTTCAAGCTTCCAATACAGAGCAAGTCTCCTCAACTGTAAAATGGGGGTCTTAATAGCACCTGACTCATAGGGTTGTTGGAAACATCAAATGAAGTGGTGTTTTTAAAGTGCTTAGCACAGTTTCTGACACCTGGTGGTTTTTTTTCCTTGAAGAAAACCATGACATCAGGAAGGTGATGCCATGACTTGCAGGTGACTTGGATTTAAGTGAGGGAGGTCTGTGCAGTTACCAGCCTCAGACTTTGTCCTCTGGAGCCATCCGGGACCAGTGGTGAGATACAGATCAGGATGACCGCCCCTCCCCCCATTAAGGACTAATGATCAGGAGAGTGGCTTGAACCTAAAACCCACTTCTCTTTGACTAGCTATATTTGGAGGGGATAGATAGATACAACTCCAGCCCAGTGACCCCTCTTTGAGGGCAGCAGAGTAGCTAGCATCATGGCCCTAGCCTCCTGATCCCCTCGTGTCAGGAATCACAGCCTCCCTTGAAGGAGGACAGGCAGAGGTGACTCCAGAGATACGCCTTCATGCCTCTGAGTCACATCTAAAAAAATACACATGA